GCCACGCCATGTGGTCACCTCCGGGGCAGGCGGGAATCGAACTCATGCTGAAGTGGCTTTAGCTTCTCAGTGCTGTGCTTTAACCCGCTGTGCCATCAGGGAGGGCCGCATCTGTTTTTTTAATTCAGCAAAATGTTGGTATTGGAGTGGATATTATTTTATCCACCACCATTATTATTCTATGCCACCACTATTCTATCCTCTTGGACTCTATGACAAAAGGAGAAAAAACAAACTCCAGGTATTCATAGGCTACATACACACAGCATTTAAAAGTACTGAATGGATGGCCACAGCAGGCTCTGGAGAAAAGTGACAGGATAAAAGCCCCTTTTACCCAAGGGGTGGGGAGGGTGGGCGTGGGAGGTTGGGGGGGGGACTGATGTTTACTTAGTTTTGCTCCCTTTCAAGAACTTTAAAGCAAGAAGAAAAGATTATGAATTGTAGGATATGATACCTCTACTAATGTGACCTTAGACAAGGTACAAGACTATAGCCAACTGAACTCACGAGGCTTCTTCCTACCCTGTCATTAAACACACACACACACACACACACAGGCATACCCAGTTGCAATGTGTGTAGGATAGGCTGCAAGCTGTAACCAACATGTCTTCTAAGTCACAGATCATCACAGGCCTCTATGCCCCCTGACCAAACAAGGCTACTTGCAGTGGCCCAAATTCATTGTGGGCTTCCAAGGGCACAAAACAAAGGTCATTTGAGGTTCCTGGGGCAGGTTAATTCTCTCTTTGGACAACATATGCTTTTAGTCAGAGTTGGCTGACCTCTATAGACCAGGCAGCGTGAATTCCCCTGGAGCCGATCATTAGGATGACTTCCCAGAGCAGTGGGCCATGGCTCCAACCACCAGTTAGCCATCAAAAATGACAGCTGAGTGTATGTGGGTACAAAATCTAGGGGTGGGGGTAACTTGGCAATATCTTTTAAATTTGATAAAGTGTATAGCTTGCACAGTTCTATTTGTAGGAACATATTCTACAAATATACTTACATATGTGAAATGATGAATGTTTAAGTTATTCATGACACTATGATCTATTAGTAAAGATTGGAAGTAAATTGATATCCACTAGTAGCCTATTTCATAGGTAATTATATATTCATACAATGAAATACTGAAAATGGGAAGCTTTTGTATATTGGTAGGAATGGTTGCAGATATATATGCTAAGGTGAAGTAAGCTGCAGAACAGGGGATACATTTTACTATAGTTTATGCAGAAAGAGAGGACAGAAACAATACATGTGTCGATATGGACTTATATGTAGGTATACAATTTTACTGGAAGAATAAGTAAGAAGCTAACAGTGGTTATTGTTTGGGAGAGGAAATTTGGACAAGAGCAACTTTCTGTGGCAGGTATTTTGCAAATTTGAATAATGTGAATGCATGACCTATTCTAAAGATTAAATCAAAAAACAGAAAAGCACAAAAAAGGATAATCCCACTGACGAAAATGGCAGAAGGGTAAGGGGGTGTTTAGGGTAGAGCATGAGGGAAAGAAAGGAGGAATGAAATGAAAGAAAGGCAAGCAGAGATGGAAGCAGGCCAGGTGCAGTGTAGCTCTGTCCCTCATAAAAGTCTTCACTCACAGGGCTCTGGAATTTCTCTTCTCAGTCTCTGCCAGCTATTCGCCTCACCATTGCCCACACTCAGCCACACTCATGTGGTCTGGGAAATCTTGTCATTTTAGAAATTGTAAACATTTTTCAGACTTCCGCAGAACAACAAGGCCAACCCCTAAAGCAATGCCATCCTTTGAAGTTACTTGTCTTCCTGACACCCCTTTCTACTCCCAGGCCAGCTAGATGTCCTAGGAAGAAAGTGCTGAGTGCCATGTATTTTTTACTTTTGGAGAATCTTATGATACCCCTTTGAGATAACTGGCAGAACTCTGGGGTGTTGCAAAACCCCACTTGGAGAAGTGACCTTCTTGACTGATCAGTCAGAGGCCAACTTCAGACTCCAGTCCCAGTGGGGCTTACCTCACTTCGTGAGTCTTGGGGGTATGTTTGGGGGCTGGGCTTCTCCCCTGATGCCCACTAAGCATTTCTGACTCCCAAGGCCTGCTGTGTGTACTGCCTGGGCCAGGAAGGCTTTTGCTTGGGAGTCACTGATAAACCCTGTTTGTGGGTGAGCAGCTGGGTGGGCCCCTGAGAGACAAGAATGATTCTTTTTCCTCAGGGATAATTTTAGGTCCTCACTTCCCCTACAATCTTTCTAACTCCCAACCCTTCCCTCAGCCTCCCAGAGGGATTGCTTAGATCAGTGACTATACAGCGTTCCTTTGAATATAGAGCATTTCAAGAGACAAGCTAGGCATAGGCCTGGAGGCATTTTCCATGATAATTTCCCCCTTTCTCCTTAGTCTCATTGCTTCAGGGGGAGAAGCAAGACAGCTCAAGTCCAGCTTCTGATAGTACTTCATGAAGCTTGAGACATATTTTCCAGTTTCACCTCCCCACAGCCAGTTTGAGAGGAGCTGGAAGAGCTTGGCTTTGAGTATGGCAGGAAGAGGGTAAGGAGGCTCTGAGGTCTTCAGGTGAAGGAAATCTTTCTTGGAACCATATGAAAAGATTCAAGCATCACAGACATGGCCCACAGACTGAAAAACACATGTGAATTCCTCAACTCACTGTCTTATACTTTTTTTTTTTTTTTTAAAGATTTATTTATTTGTACATACAGAACCGGGGTACAGGCTAGAGGCTCAGGGGCGGTGAGAGGCTTCACCACAGACAGAGCGGGGAGCAGAACAGGCAGATCAACGAAGCACACTGCTGAGGGGAGCAGCGGGTGGGTCAGGAGAGGTCTGCCACACCATGTGGTCACCTCCGGGGCAGGCGGGAATCGAACTCATGCGGAAGTGGCTTAAGCTTCTTAGTGCTGTGCTTTAACCCGCTGCACCACCAGGGAGGGCCCTGTCTTATACTTTTTAAAGTTCATGAATAGAATTTTCCAGGAAGGTAGAATGAATACTTTCCCATTGGAAGAATAACAATGGAAGATTTGTGGATAGTGGGTGGGTAATTGTGGGAAATCCTCACCTTTAAACCCAGTCAGGCATTTTAAGTATGTCTTCACAACAGAAGAAAAGGGACACATTGAGGCCCTTCCTGCTGGTGCAAGGGATTAAGTCACAGCACTATGAAGCTATCAGCAGCCACTGCCCCAATGAGTTCCATCCTGGCCAGGGAGGTGACCCACATGGAGCAGCAGACCTCTCCTGTCTCACCCCCTGTTCCCCTCAGCAGTGTAGTTCAGTAGATCTGCCTGTTCTGCTCCCCATTCTGTCTCTGGTGAATCTTTGCACACACCCCCAATCCCTGGACCTCTGGCTTACACCCCAGCTCTTGCATGTATAATAAATAAAAAAAAAAATTTTTAAGGGGAACATCTAGATGTGTTTTAGGTGGAAAGGTGTGGGGAGGGGAGGAGGAACTGTCAGCATCCCAGCTTACATTAGGATATCCAAATTCAAAAGGTGGCAATGATAACAACTCCTGAAAGATGACTAATTTCCAGTAGCTAGAAAGAAAATAAAAAAGACAGAAAACTGCAGATGTAGGGAGGTACACACTGGAAAGGGAAAAAATCTCATTGGAATGAGGTGCTGGGAGAAAAAAGACATCAAATGATCTCTGCTATACTTAAAATATCTTAGAGTAAAACACCCTAAATCGATGGGAGGCTGCTACCTTGACAAGGTTACCTTTTTGCGGAACTGGTCATGATAGAAGTGGACACGACATGGCAGAGAAGTGAGGGACCCCTTCCTCCAGATTTGGCTAACAGGAAAAATCCAGCATCCACTACGCCTCCCGTCCCACCCTCCAATTCCGCTTCGGACAGCTGGGAGCTTGGAGGCGATTGGCCACTGGCCCTTTAAGGGCGCCACTCCGCCTCACCCCCACCCCCCAGCGGTGGCACCAAGGGGAAGGGGGTGGGGGGCAGACGGAACGTTCTCGCCCGATCTACTGGGGAAGATGGCCCAAGTCGGGGGAACAGCATCCACGCCCCGCTACCCCCTCCCCTGAGCCGAGTGAGCCGGAATACCCCTTCCCTCCCGTCCCACGCGCGGCGCGGGAATGGCTCCGTGGCCTCACGGAAACAGCTCTCTGGCTTCGTGGCCAAATGCCCCCACCCTGGCGCCCAATAGTGCCATCACGAGTGGGCTGCCAGGCGTGCCATGGGCGGCGGCATTGGCGGGGGCGCTGTTGGCGTTGGCCACCGTGGGAGGCAACCTGCTGGTAATCGTAGCCGTCGCTCGGACGCCGAGACTCCAAACCATCACCAACGTGTTCGTGACTTCGCTGGCCGCAGCTGACCTGGTGATGGGACTCCTAGTCGTGCCACCGGGGGCCACCCTGGCGTTGACTGGGCACTGGCCCCTGGGCGCCACTAGCTGCGAGCTGTGGACTTCGGTGGATGTGCTGTGCGTGACCGCCAGCATCGAAACCCTGTGCGCCCTGGCTGTGGACCGCTACCTGGCCGTGACCAACCCGCTGCGCTACTGCGTCCTGGTCACCAAACTCCGCGCCCGGGCAGCGGTGGTCCTGGTGTGGGTCGTGTCTGCTACAGTGTCGTTTGCGCCCATCATGAGTAAATGGTGGCGCGTGGGAGCCGACGCCGAGGCGCAGCGCTGCCACTCCAACCCCCGCTGCTGCGCCTTTGCCTCCAACATGCCCTACGCGCTGCTCTCCTCCTCCGTCTCCTTCTACCTTCCGCTGCTTGTGATGCTTTTCGTCTACGCGCGAGTTTTCGTCGTGGCTAAGCGCCAGCTGCGTTTGCTGCGCCGGGAGCTGGGCCGCTTTCCGCCGAGGACGCCTCCGGCGCCGACCCAGCAGCGCGCTTCGCCCGCCGCGGTGCCCTCCTGCGGGAGGCGGCCTGCGCGCCTCTTGCCTCTCCGGGAACACCGTGCCCTGCGCACTCTGGGCCTCATCATGGGCACCTTTACTCTCTGCTGGTTGCCCTTCTTCGTGGCCAATGTCGTGCGCGCCCTCGGAGGGCCCTCTTTAGTTCCCAGCTCTGCTTTCCTTGCTCTTAACTGGCTGGGCTATGCCAACTCTGCCTTCAACCCACTGATCTACTGCCGCAGCCCTGACTTTCGCAGTGCCTTCCGCCGGCTGCTGTGTCGCTGCGGCCGCGACCCGACCGACCAGCGCCTAACTGCCACCTCTCCGGATGACCCATCTGGCGGTGCTGCGGCCCTGACCAGCCCAGGGGAGTCCAGGCAATGTCCACCACTCGATGGGTAGGTGAGAACGGCCAAGGAGCCAGCGAATCTGGGGTGAGGAAGCATTCAGCGTCTCATTTAGACTAAACCACATTTAGAGTCTGTGGTTTGGTAGAAGTTAGTAGCACTGAGGATGGTGTCTGCATTGAGACAGGCAACCAATATGGAAGGGGTGGGGGGGCCTTTCCTTCCTTGCCTGGGACTCACACAGTCCTAGAGAGGGAGGGCAGATTGTTCTTCACCCAAGTCTGGAGACTTGGGTGGAGAGGGCTGCTGTTTTCTGAGACTCCTCCCTCTCTGATCTACTCTAGTTTAGGTTTTCTAGCTCAGATCTTAGAACTCCCAGATTTTTTTCCCACCACTTGGGTTGCCTTTCACGTGCAGAGACTGGAAGCCCTCCCAAGCCCCTGGTTTCAGTTAAGGTTTCTTTTAAAAGTTGGAAAGCCATGAACGTGAGAATTCACTTGGGTTTGAAAGACGAATCAGGAAGGAAATTGTGATTTTCCTCCCTGGCAGGAACAAGGTTGGTGTGGAGTTGGGGGTATAGTTTTGTGGCTGGGTGGTGCTGGGATACTTTCATGTAATTACATGTGTTCTGTGGGGGTCCCTATTTCTACCCTTGCCTCTTCTGCCCTTGTTCCCACTCTCTGTACCCTGACCCCAAGATATGTTATCTCCATTTTTTCAGGGCTTCCTGGGGAATTTCTTAGGCTCTGAAGGACAAGAAACAGCAGCTCCACTGACCTTTCCAGAACCTTTGTGAAGCTTCTACCCTCTGTTCTGAATAAGCCCTGTGGAGTTTCTGGAAAACCCCACCCTCCAGAACCTGACAACTGGACCTTTGGGGGATGGCTGGGGAGAGGGAATCCTTACCCAGTGGGGTTTCACCATCCTGCTCCTTTCCCTGCTGTGGAAGTTTTCCAGATCCCTGAACTTCACCACTACCTCAGCTGTTGGAGTGTCCCACTTGTGCTCAACTGGCCTTGGAGAAGCTAGGCTAATTTTAGGAGACATCCATCACCTTGCTCACTTGTGTGCTGTGTGCTTAGGGCAAAGAGAACACCCCTCATTCAATCCCTTTTGTTACCTAGGACTTTGGACCCTGGTGAACCACTGAGTTCTCGAGGCTCAGTGGACTAGGCTGAGGATAGGAAGCCAGAAAAAGTCAAGGTTTATTTAGGCCTTTGTCTCTGGCTCCCTCACTTTGTCTAAGCACTAGCCTCCCTTATGTTAGACACATACCAGCTCTGATCTACCTCACAGCAATGACAGAAGGTTTTGAGTGGCTCTGGGGTTCATAGGAAGGTGAACTATTAGGATGGATCATTCCTTTTCAACTCAAATTAATAAATATTATTGAAGGTTGCATATTGTTGTCCTCTTTTCCCTCCATTTGTTTTCTTTTGATAATCTACTGACTCTCTTCTTAGAGCTGGCCTTTGACAGAGGCAATAAACTAGCACTAATCCTGGTCCTTTCTTCCTAATCCTCATGAAGCAAAAAATGAAAAGTCTGTTTGTGTGGAAGGGAGCCTTTTGAGTTTTTGACATTCACATCTCACCATCTTCCAACATTCCTGGAATCCAGTTGAAAGCGAGTAGCAAAGCCACACTCCCTGTAGGATGTAAGCAGAAGATTGGGTTTGCTTGTGTGGGATCATCTCCCTTGATACCTCCCTTGATACAGTTAGAGGTGGAGTCTTAAGTTCCCATTGTCGTCAGGAATCAGTTTCATTCAGTGCTGTATGTGTGTGTCTGGAGGCACAGAGCACTATTTGTATTGGGCAAATGTCCGGGTTATAAATATATTCTGAAGTTTCCTATCCTTTCCATAATCTCTACCATTCTTACTCCCTTTCCTGGGTTGTGGATATCTATATTCTTTTTGAAGTAAAACTGGAGTTGCAAGTTTGAGCCAATTGATAAATTCCCTCCCTCCACCCCTTATTACAATTTTAGTGAACCTTATCAGGCAGATTTCCTACGGAAAGAAAATTTCTATGGAAATCACTGGATCCTTTTGGGAGTTCTTATTTAAACTTCATGAACAAAGAACCATTGTCTGGGCTGATTTACAAGGTACCCAGTAAATCACCAAATGTTTAACATGCTGTACAACAGCAGTATACAATGCATTGGCCAGGTTCAGGGGCTCCAAGTTATAAGACTTCAATCTGCCTGAGGAGAAGTGCAGTGGATTTCCTCATATGGGTGTTCCCTGGGATCTGGCCTGGGCCTGTGCTGCTCCTTTTTCTCTAGGATCCCAGGTTTGATTTCTTAGGATGTTTGCATACCAAACATGACTTTCTCCTTTTTAACCCTCAGCAGTGTGAGATATCTGGTGTCTGAGGTGTGGAGGGTTTCTTGGCCAGGACTCCACTTTCAAACCCTTGGCGTGTAACGTTAGCTTGGGGATCAATATGATCAAAACAGGACTTCTCACTTCATCTCTAGATATTTTCCCAGCATCAAGGAGGAAAGTTGCCCAGTCAGTTCTAGGCAGGGGAAAAGGAAGCTTTGGGATGGGGGTTGGGGGAGGGAACTTTGGTTTGTAGAATTGTTCTTGAACGTTATCCAGGACTTTATACTGCTTGAATCTTGCTCGACGTGCACCCGTGTGCCAGCTGTCAGACTCTTCTGGAGTGTTTAGACTTGCACTGTGGCTGTGGGCTTATCTGCAGATTGTCACCCATGCATTTGACAGATGGAGAGGCAGTTACTCTGGTCATTTCTCCAGCAACGTGTGGCTAGGTGTCAGGCTGAGAGAGATTTACATCCTTGGACGTCAAGCACACTGCTTTTGCAAGCACAAGGCCTGAGCACTTAAACTGTGAAAGACAAACAACCAGATGTGAAGACTTACAGACCAAAGAGAAAAAAAGAGCTCATGCAACCCCTGGCTTTGCCAGAGTCTGTTAGCAAGAGCTGGGAGTGGGGTGGAAATGACAGGGAGGAGTGGATGTGGAGGAGAAGGAATGAAGAGTAAGTGATTTTTTTTTTTTCCAGAGGTGACCTACCTTCTGCATCAGGCAGTTAGGGCAAGGAGGAGGCTGATGACAGGACTCTCGCCAGGGTAGATTCTTCTGGGGAAGGGTGGTCAGTGCAGGCTATGTCCTCACGGGCGGGCATGGTGCTGTAATTCCACACCAGCATCATCCTTCAACCCTGTAGAGTTGGAACTGCTTCCTCCCTCTTGTCCTGGGGACACAAGTGAAGGCCTTGGAAGTAGTGTTCCCTTATGTTTCCATCCTAAAAGCCAAACATTCAGGCTCCCTCTCAGACCTCTTGGCCAAGTATGTCTGTGTTTATGTGTCCAGAGGAGAAGTAGACGCCTGCAATCAAGAGTACTCCCTCACCCCATGCAAAACACTCTGGATAGAGTAGGCCTTAGGCTAATTACAGAGGAGTTAGGCAAAATGCACAGCTCAGTTTAATTAGCAGGCGAACTCCACAAAGCCCTCTAATCTTTCATAGTTCATCCTATTATAAGATTAGGAAGAATCAAATGCTTTCTCAGCTGCAAAATAGATGGAGAATAAATCAACCCACCCTCCCTTCTTCCCTCTTTCTCTCCTTCCCTTCCCCTCTCTCTTACTTTCATGTGGAGAATGAGGATGACAACTGTATGGACTGACTCAAAAACCTGTCAAGTCCTAGGGGCTTCACCTTTTGGGCTACCCAAGCATATGTGGTACCAGGCATCCCCTGACGGTGATGTGAGGTATGTACTTTGCAATGTTGTTCTGTTGACCAATGGCCGGGAAAATGACATTTTTCACAAGATCACTGTCTATCAGAACTGAAAGAGCCTATAGAAATGATTTAATTCATTCTTTTGATAAAATGGATGAAGAAACCTATTTCTGGAGAGGTGAATTATGAATGAAACCCAATCCCATGGTTGGTAGTGTAAAGAATTATAAGCTGGAAAATCAAGAAAGGAAAGAAAGAGATGGCCATTTACTGAGCACCAATAAATATGCCAAACACTGTAAGAGGTGCTCTAAAATTTTATGTTCTAGTGACTACAAATAAAGAGTAGAGTGTAGAGATCAATTACTTGCTTGTGTTGATTCTAACCCAGTCTCGCTGACTCCAAAGCTTATTTTCTTTTAATTTCACACACAGGTATTAATCAGCTATGAGACACTGAGCAAGTTACTTGCCATTTTGACATTTCGTTTGCAGCTAGTCAAATGGAAATTATGTTGTTACTCTGCTCTACTATTGCTGACTAGTTTTGAAGTCCAAATGAGACACTATGCAAAATGGTTTGGAAAATGAAAGAGAGCAATTCGGTGTCAGTTGTTTCATTACAGTAGGGAACTGAGAGTAGGCCTGGAACTCCTGGTTTTGATCCTTTTCTAGTCTTGCCTTGTTGCCTGCCTAGGTCTTAGACTCCCTGCCTTTGGTCACTCTAGGAATGCCCTGTCTGGTTTCCTCTGAAGTCTCGGATCCACCTCAGACTGAGTCCTTCCATTTCAAGTTCATGTCACACTGTCCATCTCTCTGGGGCTCTTGACATTGTAGTTTTTTCTATTTTAGACCACTCTGTCATTGCCCATGCTGAAGTTCCCAATAATGAGCTAAGGGCAGAACAAAGGCTTAAAGCAGAGGTACTTCTGATGTCAGGGCTTTATGGTAATTCCGGTCAGGGTTCATGAGAATAAGGTCCTAAGGAGCCAGGGCAGGAAGAAAGTGCATTAGCTTGTTAGGGATGTCATAACAAACTACTATGAATGAAAATTAATTCTCTCACTATCTTTAGAGACTAGAAATCCAAACTCAAGGTGTTAGCATGGTCATTTTCTCGCTGAGACAGTCTAAATCCCTCTTTGCCTCTTGTAGTCTCCGTCAAGCAACCATCTTGGCGTGGATGGCACATAGCTGCCTTATCCCAGCTTCTGCCTCCATCTTCACGCGGTCTTCTCCCTTTGTCTGTGCCCAAATTTCCTTCTTATGAGGACACCAATGAGTGGATCAGGGTCCAATTTAATTAATATGACTTCATTTTAACTTGATAACCTCTGCAAAGACCCTGATTCCAAATAAGATCAGTCACATTCACAGAGTCTGGGGGTTAGGACTTCAACATACATTTTTTTTTAAGTGGACACAATTTAACCCATAATAGAGAGTGTGATGGGGAAGCAGGCTCTCCATGTTCATCTCATTCCTTATTTTCAAGGTTCTGTTTCTTCGGACAATGAGCAAGATGGGTGCGGGGGGTGTTAGCTATTCTTGGATTTCTGTTTCTGGGCCTTTCTGGGCCTTTCCTCCAGTGTCTGAGATTCATATTCAAGAGGCCACTGATCAAATCAGACCTGTACTTGTGACTCCTGTGCTGTTATCATTCTTTTTTTTTTTTTTTATTCTTCCTTTGTAACAGAGCCCCCAGTAACTTATCTGGGCATAATAGCTTTGCTAAAGTCTTTGTATGACTCCCTGGTGGCCTAGGGATTAAGTCTCAGCACTATCACTGCTACAATCTGAGTTGGAACCCTGGCCAGGGAGCTAACCCATACGGTGCAGCAGACCTCTCCTGTCTTGCCTGCTGCTCACCTGTCTCTGGTGAATCCTCTCACCCACCACACTTCTGGCCTACACTCCAGTTCTTCTATGGAATTAAAAATCAAAATAAAGACATTTTGCAACTTCACTTGCAATTAGGTATGACTAGAACTTAGTTCTAGTTCTAATCAGCTGAAGTG